AGAGAGAGAGAAAAAAAAAAAAAGAGGAGAAATCACCTTTGCACGCCCAAAGACATGTTGTTCTGCAAGCGAGGCACACGGCGAGCAGGCACTTAGCCGTGAGAGGCAGCCAGTTCTGTGCCACGTGCCAGCTGTATGCACGGCTGATGTTGTGAACGACCGCACCAATAGAAGCCTGCTGCTTCTCCACAAAGGGTCCCATCTCGAGGTCGACGGCGAACTTGTCCTTCTCCAGCCGGGCCTTGCGAGCCATCCATTCCGTGAAGCTCTCGCCAGGGTCTCGTTTCTTGGTCACGTTCGCTACCGCAACGAAGCCTCGAGCGAAGCCAGTACTTGTAACTGAAGCCCAACAAATCAACAAACTGCCTCTCCCGACCCGTGATGAAAGCAGCGAATCAGCGAATCTGTGCCAAGAGCAGCCACGGAGCCGTGTCGTGATAACGGCACCAGTCCCTTCACCGGCTCTTGTTGAAGAACTGGAAACAAATCTTGGTGCTGATCTTCTTCAAGCCTTGATGGTAAGTACACCCTAAGTGCGCGTGTCTCCTACTTGGCTTGGCGGAATGGAGCACACCGCACTCGCACCCCTTCCTGCCTGTCGAACTTGGTGATGACCCCGATGGTGCGCTCCTCTAGGCGCTTGTTCTTGATCAACTGCATGACTGCCCAGTTCGCGGGTGCTTCTGTGGCTGGGACGACTGCGAGAAAGATGTCCTGGTCTTGTGAGCCTTGCGTATACCTGTCGAGTAGCTGCTGTGTCTGAGTGGCAAGACCAGCATCAGACTGAACCAAGCCCGGCAGGTCCACCAAGTTCATCGGCGGCAACGTGGTAGAGCCGGCCTTGATGTGGATCTCCTTATCGAGGCAAAACTCGCTGTCCTGAGCCGTCTCTGCCACCAGCTTGTTCATCTCGGTGTGGATTTGTGCTTCGCTGACTTCCAGGGAAATGCTCCGTGCCGGACCTTCCCACTTCCGCTCCCTGACGTTCCACACCTGCATCGTGGCCTCGGGACCCATGAAATATCTAACTAGTGCTTTCGACGGCTTAAGCAGACGCTCCGTGCATGCCAGGGGCCGGGTACGGCGTCGCTGTTCGTCGGATCTCCAGGCGCACCGGCATTCTCGTGCAGCGGCTGCGGTCGGTGGGGAAGAAGGGAAGCAGGCTCAGGCGTTGCAGCAGCGAGGACTTGCCCACGCTCTCGGCACCGAAGACCACCAGAAATGGCGCCCTCGCGGAGCAAACAGTGGGAGATGCTGGATTTTAGGTCCTTCCACCCCGCACCTGCTACAGATCTCGATTTATGCTAAAGCTTAGAAGCTACGCGCAACGCGCAGCTGCACAGTCCTCCAGCTGCCCAAGGTGGCCACCAGCACGTCGTTCAGATCATCCAGCGCAGAGAAGAGCACGTTGAGCCTGCAGAAACAGGTGTCTGAAGGGCCGACAACGTCAGAGCCTTGGTTTCAGAAGGGGCTTATCTCTGGCCCAGCGGCCTGTGAAGGGAGCCTTGGTCGTCCAAATCGGACTCCCCCAGCCGATCCTGGGTCTTTCGCAACAGCGGGGGACCCTCCAGCGGAAGCTCAAGACAGAGCTTCTAGTGGGCTGGAATCTTAGAGGCTGCTCTTCCAACTCTCCGAAGCAGAAGGCCCCTCCTGTCCTTCCCCCTCTACACTCTACACCTGAAGAGCGAGGTTCTCTGAGGCCGGCCACTTCCATTTCCAGGTGGGCCACGAACTGGGGCTGCATGTCCTGAGCTCAGCTCGCAGAAACGGAACGAGGCCTGTCTCTGTCTCTGCCGGTGCTGCTGAAATGGTCCGCCGAGACGCACGCAAGGAGGGCAGCGGACTCCGACCCTGCAACTCCCGGAGCTCGAGCTTGATGTCTGCAGCGAGCCTTCTCCTGTAGTCTAGGATGTCCTCCTCCTCGAAGGAAATGCCATGTCGTAGAAGCCAGGCTACCTCTCCGCGCTGCGAGACGCCAAGCCCTGCATCCCCGCGCCTCGTCTCGCTGCACTCGATCTGCGGGGGCCAGGCGAGGCCCTCTCTTCCGACGCCTTTCTGTGCTGCCTTGTAGACGACCACCAAAGTGTGCTTTCTGTCCACGGCTGTCGCCACCCGCAGCCGCCACTCCTCAAACCAGCGGCAGCCGAAGGGCTGCTTTTTGTCGTAGAGATCTTGGCACCAGCAACTGCTCGAAGTCCCATCCTGATTTGGCTCATGGCCCCCATACAACTTGCTCCCCTTGGGCAGAAAAACACAGGCAGTGCTGCCGGAGAGGTAGTGCGCACAGGGCTGCTCTGAATCCTCTGCCTCGAAGGCGCTGCGCTTAACCGATCTTCGAACCAGGCATTGCCAGTCTTCCTGGTATTGCCCGGGAAAGCTCACCACGGTCTTGACCTCCGGGCCCTCCTTGGACGAGACCGCCCCGTGGAATGCAGCCTCGGTCATGGCCGCCTGCTTGGAGAAAGTCCTGCACCAGCTTGGGTGCACAAAGCTCCAAGAACTCACGGACTCACCAGACTGCACGGCATGCAGCAGCCTTTTTGCAAGCTCCCACTTTGGGAGAACCGTGCCTCGGCGTAATATGCGTGGTGCTCATCAAGGCCGGCCACTGTGCCGGAGCTTCTCGTGGGGTCTTCGCTTGCTTCCAAGCCGACTCCTTCGCCGGGAAGTTCTCCTCGAGGAACCGCCTGGGCTCCGCTCCGCGCACGCGCACGCGAACGGATCTTAGGCTACTTCAAGACACTCACCGACGCGCGCCTGATCTCCTCTTCCAGCTCGGCTTCGTGATGAAAGCCTGCGGACAACCCCCACTGGCTTTCTCGGACGAGGGCTGGGTTTCTGCGCAGGGTGGAAAACCCAACATGAAGAGAACTCGGGGAACCTGCCTGGCTCCATTGGCTTCTGCGTCACCGGGGAGAGCAGTTCGCCAGAACTCTCGCTGAGTCGGATGTACTCTTCCAACGCTTTCTTCTCGTAGACGTTCCCGTCTTTTGCACGCACAGGGCGCCTCATCACCTCACGCAGTCTGAGAGAAATGGTGGCATGCAAGGCCCGACTCCCAAACCCAGCTGAAACAGCAGGCGCCTGCTTCGAGAGCCCGCACACGAACTTCTTCGGTACGTAGTTTCGGGTCTCCAGCGCGAGCTGCGCATCACGAACCTGCCTGCAGGAAATGCCGGCAAGTGAGGGGCCGGGGCAACATCCTCGGCATCGTCTGAACGATTCCGGGAGCGTTTTCTGATTCCGGGCCGGACAGAGGTTCACAGTTCCAATCAGTTCCACCTTCGTGGTCGAACGCTTCGGGCTGTGAATGGTCTTGCTCTGTTGCATCTCCTTTCAGTCTGTTGGAGACTTTCAATGCTTTTGCCCTTTTTGGCCTTGTCTTATTCTGTAAAGCAGTGCTTGCTAGTTTCACATCTAAGAGGCCGCGCCTCTCGAGGTCCACCATCCGCTTCACGTACTCCGCATTCTGCGTGCTCCATTCGCGGATATCTTTGCGAAGGTCCGTGTTGTCTCGGAGGTTTTTGCTCCTGAGCCCCGTCATTCCCCCCCCCCCCCCCCCCCCCGCCCCCCCTTGCGGGTTGTCTGCGGAGTTGGCGGAAGGCCTCGAAACGTCCAAGCCGGGATCGGGCGTCTTTCTTGTTTCAGCCGAGGTTCCGGAGGCGGATATTGGTGTAGGGATCCCTCCACTCGGCATTCATCTCGAGCCACCTGGCGCGAGAATCTGTGCGAGGTGTTGGCGGCATGGTGAAAGCTTCCGAAGGAAGCCGAACAGAATCAGAGAGTCTGCCTCTCGATCTCCACCCGCTCGTAGGTGTTGCAACCTCGTGCGGAAGGCAGCGCAGCTTCCCCGAGAAAAGAAGTGTGAGAAATAGCTGGAAAATGGTGGAGAGAGAGAGAGAGAGAGTGCAAGTTGGGAGTCGCGAGTTGCGGTTACGAGTTGCGAGTTGCGAGCGCGAGTGCGAGACCGAGAAACAACGAAGGAAAAATGCAGCATAGAACAGGAGATGTGTCATGAAAGTTGGGGGAAGTTGGAACAAAGAGAGGGTGTCGGACAGACAGAAGGAGTGAGAAGATGCAGAAACCGAGAAACACATAGCACCATCCTATGCGAGCACCCCAGCCCCCAGGCCTGCGGGCTCCTCTGCATCGACGATGACCGGATCCTGCATCCAACACAGGTCTTTGAACCGCTGCAAGCGTTTCGAGGTGGCCATCTGTGGAAGCTCCGCTCTCTCTGCAGCGTCTACTCGCTTCTATGGATCCGGAAGCTTCGCCCACAGGACAGCACCAAAGAGGGAGAGAGAGAGAGAGAGAGAGACGGAGCCTTCATGAGCTCGGAGCTGAGCTTGCACTTGAAGGAGGACGGGATCTCCATGGCGGCTGCTAAGTGGCGAGGGTGAAACTTCGGTTCCCGTCACCTTCGCTCTGCTACAAGCCCTCTTGATGTGACAAAGGCTCTCTGTTATTCTGAACACCTCCTTGCAAAGTGTCGGCTGATCTCGTAAGAAGCCTCGAAGCGAAAGCTACTGCTCACCAGTGGTGATAGCTACCATCCAAGTGGGGCAGTTCGGGAACCGTTTTTTCTTCGAGCCAGACGCACAGGAGAGATCTCTCTGAAACTCAATGGCACGGCCGGAGAAGAGGTGTGCAAGTTCAGATAACTTCAGGTCCACGGATTGCTGCCCCCCGCCGCCTTTTTTTGAAGGCTCGCCTTCTCCGAATCCTACCTCCTTTTCCCCTACGCAGGCGCAAGTGCAGCCCCTGCCCCCCAAAGAAAGCCGGGCCTGGCGCCTGCGCCGAGGCGCCAGGGGCCGTGCCCTGCCGAACCTCGAGGCCCAAGAGGAAAATTGTGGGAGCTCTTTAGAAGAGTTTATGTAGGATATGTATATGGAGCTTGGGGCTGAGTAAGGGCACTTAAGAGTTCAGGTAGGGCATCCGGAGTATGGAGTTTCAGGCTGTTTTTGGGGGTGGTAGAAGGGCCAACCGAGACGGGGGGGGGGGGCGGCCTGAGCTTCG